AATTCGATCTTTCCTTAATAAAGCATTGAAAACTGTTTTGCAATATCTCTCACCGTTTTCGAATAATAAATTTTTAAAGTTACCCCTGCAAATTCAATTTTTGACACAAAAACTTGAATATCGGCGAAGCCCTTGGAGCAAAGGGTCAACTATGGGGTATCGTTGTACTCCAAATTCAACGTAGAATCCGAAAATGTAGAAAAAATAGGGGGTCCCTATTTAAAATAACAAAGTTGATGGCTACTTCCGGTATTTCCGGAAGTGGCGCCATTTTGAAAATATTTTAGTTCAATTCATCATGTGCCAAAACCCTTAAAGGACTTATCAGTTTAGCTTAATTTTCAAAGGTTTTCCATATCTTCCTAACTGACGCTCGTCAAGAATGACCCTGTATAATTCGCATATTTTCCGCGGTCTTACAACTTCGAAATCAAACAATGAGTTTTTTCGGCCCACCCTACTATTTAACCACTCATTTCAATTTTTAAAAAAATTTGCAGCTTGATGTCCAAGTCCAATGTAATTTTTTTTCTGAAACTACCTACCTACTTTAAAGATAACAATTTTCGCCTGTAAAAAGGGTAAAGAAAATGTGATTTTAAATAAACACTGAAATCGTGACAAGTTTGTGTAATATATATATATACTTATTATTAGGTAGGTACTTATGAAGATTGTGAAAGCCCTGAAATTTAGTTGGTGTACATTTAACGCGTAAACAAAGCAAGCAAAGTCAAAAGGAGCTGTACTCTCGCGACATTTGATTAATACTTACAGCCCAACAATTAGTTAACAAAATAGTTTGTGGAATTATCAAGTTTAAGCAGTGGTTAACAAAGATAGTAGCGTAGGCGGTACAACTGAATATTGAGGTAAACGCTGCACTTTGTGACAAAAGCATGAAACTCGGTACACATATTTATTAGGTCCAAATAAAACTTTTGACCCGCAGCACCCACCGAAATTTTCGTGTGGGTTCAAAATTTGAACACTTTTGTTCAAAAGGGTGTTCAAGATTTTAAACCTGTAAAAATTGACGAATTTCGGCATTCTAGGGGTCGTTTTTGAATTATTTAGGGTCGCTGGTGCCAATGGCGGCATGAAAAAAGTTGTATATCTGACCCTTAGGCCCCAAATTTGGAGTATTTTCAAAATAATGGTTGAATTTTGAATTTGATAGTTTTAACCCTGCGTGATGTTTCGGATGTCGATTGCAGCTAATTTTGACGTGCACTACATGCTAGAAATATTATATTGAAGTTAAAACAGTTTCTGGTGTGTAAATAGGCCGTTAATCGTTCAATAATTTATTCAAAATTTGGAAATTCCATACTTGAAGGATTTTGCCGTTCTTGGTGTCGTTTCCATATAATTTGTGGTTGCTGATTTTGTATTCAGAAAACAGTTGCGACTCATAGTTAGGCCCTTTTCATACTATTTTACCTATTAAGAGAGAATGTTCGGTGCAGTCATACCTTTGTTGTCCCGGATTGCAGCAACTATTGAATGACAAAGAAAGACGAATGAGACGGGCATTTCATTTAAGATTCAGAAGTGGACATGTTCTCTGACGGGATATGCCGCCTATGCTTCCATTAATGCCCTCCCGTCATCGTTTGTTGGGAAATCTGTACTTCCAATCAGTCTTGAGCTCACTCCACGACAAAGTAACATCTTGCAGCTAGCTATAGTAGTTCCGTCCGACTCGTGCCCCTGGAAATGAGGATATTGCAACGATACCGTGAAACGCGATCGATCGCGACGCAGTGCCTGGGCGTGCCCTGAAGTCGCCGAGGCAGCCCCCAAAGTACATCAGACGGCGGGCGATACGATTAGGCCGCGAGTCACACTTCACAGGCGTTTTAGGCCCTGCGCGTCGCTGTAGGAAATCTGCGCGCATATTGAGAGACCGTTACCACCATAACCTGACCAGCCGGAAGCTGGTTCTGGTTCCCTATGCATACACGCTAGAGACCGGTTATCTGGTACAACAACTCAACGAAGGGAAGAGGATTAAAGCTGCTTTCATTCATATCAAAACAAAGTGGCACAAAGCCTGTGTATCGAAGTTCCAAGGGGCTAAATTGGATCAACTTTTACTAAAAGTTCAGTCTTCTACCAGTGCTATTGATGTACCTGAAGAGGCACTCGAAGACTGGCGGTCAGAACCAGCTTCTGGCTGGTCAGGTCATGGTGGTAACGGTCTCTTAATATGCGCTTAGAGTTCCTACAGCGACGCACAGGGCCTAAAACGCCTGTGACTCGCGGCCTAATCGTATCGCCCGCCGTCTGATGGACTTTGGGGGATGCCTCGGCGACTTCTGAGAACGCCTAGGCACTGCGTCGCGATCGATGGCGTTTCACGGTATCGTTGTGATATCCTCACTTCAAAGAAAGGGCGTCGCCAGAGGGGGCTGAGAAGGGAAGCTGCCCCCGTCTAGAGATTAAAAAAAGTAGCAAAATGCAAAGCAACCAAAGTCTTTGTCTTGGTTTTCTTGACCGATAATTCCTTTTTACAATTATTGTGGTTGTAGAGGTAAGACAGTAAAACAGTAAAAGTTTATGTGCTCTGCACTATACCTACAGTTAATAACTTTTTTATCCTTCATATGTCAACTTGCCCATCTCTGGGCCATCAGCTGGCGACACTCTTTCTTCAAGGAGCACCAGTCGGACGGAACTTGCTCGCTGCGTGATGTTACTTGTCGTGGAATGAGCTCAAGACTGACTGGAAGTACAGATTTCCCAACAAACGATGACGGGAGGGCATTAATGGAAGCATAGGCGGCATATCCCGTCAGAGAACATGTCCACTTCCGAATCTTAATGAAATGTCCGTTTCTTTCGTCTTTCTTTGTCATTCAATAGTTGTTGCAATCTGGGACAACAAGGGTATAACTGCGCCGAACATTCCCTCTTAATAGGTAAAATAGTATGAAAAGGACCTAACTATGAGTCGCATCTGTTTTCTGAATACAAAATCAGCATCAGCAACCACAAATTATATGGAAACGACACCAAGAACGGCAAAATCCATCAAGTATGGAATTTCCAAATTTTGAATAAATTATTGAACGATTAACGGCCTATTTACACACCAGAAACTGTTTAAACTTCAATATAATATTTCTAGCTAGTAGTGCACGTCCAAATTAGCTGGAATCGTCATCCGAAACATCACGCAGGGTTAAAACTATCAAATTCAAAATTTAACCATTATTTTGAAAATACTCCAAGTTTGGGGCCTAAGGGTCAGATATGCAACTTTTTTAATGCCGCCATTGGCACCAGCTACCCTAAATCATTCACAAACGACCCCTAGAATGCTGAAATTCGTCAATTTTTACTGGTTTAAAACCTTGAACACCCTTTTGAACAAAAGTGTTCAAATTTTGAACCCACACGAAAATTTCGGTGGGTGCTGCGGGTCAAAAGTTTTATTTGGACCTAATGAACACGTGTACCGAATTTCATGCTTTTGTCACAAAATGCAGCGACAAAATTTGTACCACTCAGGATTAAAAACAAATCTTAGGTCTAATATGTGTCAGGTAAGCAGGTACCTAAATGCTGAGAAAGGGTGAAGGGTACAGGTTGTGACTCATCTGTAGTGGTAGTTTTTTGTTATAAGAGCAAGATGGAAATAAATTACATGGCCTTGTAGGCAAATTCAACTAACGACAAAATATGTGGAATTAGCGAATCGCAACTCATTTATCGTACATAGATTCCAAACCGAATGGTTTTGATGAGCAGAATCTCAGTACCGAGATATGTAAAACTCGCCCCTAATTCGGGTTTTCGAACCTACAGTTGAATGTTGAACTCGAATCACGGAATTAGATATCGTAACACAGTTTTTGCCACCCCCGTCGTGACTGCTTCATTCACGGAGAAAATGTTAATTTACAAACAAGTCAATACGCATACATACATCAAAACAATTCGATAATTTTCACATGTTTAAAAGAATGATCAAAATTTATATGAATATTACCTGTAGTCAAGACCATGTAATGAAAACTTAAACATAAATTAAGGAAACATTACACCAAAAAGAAACACGATTTCAAACAAAAGAATAACGGTATCAAATATGTGATTCGGCATACGGTTAAATCAAGTCAACTTCAAAAACAATATTGAAACTCACAAAAAATATGGAACCTCTCAAGAGTGATGCGGTTTAGCTTAGATCATACATTGATCTAACGGGTTTAGACTTACGCAAAAGTGGCAACAGCACAAGTCCAAAAATGTGATTTATAACTCACTTATTTGTGTAAATATCAAAACAGTAGGTATACAGTAGTTGTAAAAAATAATCTCTTACTAAGGGGATATTTTTATATTTTCCATGACCTGCCTATAGACCACAGTTTGTTTTTTCAAATAGTATATTTTTGTACCAATAAATTCCATATTTTTTTCTAATTAGAAAAATGTATGTTTGATAAGAAAAATTGAGATAAATAGGGAAAACTGTTATTCCGTCCTGAAAATATGGATTAAACAAAAGTAGGCTGTGGAATATACCTATGTAGTTCAATGGTTTTCCCTATTTATGTCAAATTTGTTCTTATCAAGCACACTGATAACTATATATTATCCTAATTAGAAAGAAAAATAAGGAATTTATTGGTGCAGAAGATATACATTCCATTTGAAAAAACAAAATTTTGGAACTAAGCAGGCTATGGAAAATATAAATACCTCTGACTACTTAGATTTTTTTACCACCTTTATTATTTATACACGGATTTGTAATTTATTTTGAAGGTATAAAAATCCTACTATAAGCAGGAAGGCAGAATGGAAACTTGCAAATCTTAGATAATATTTCTGTAGGTGTAAAATGGAATTATATGGATTACGGATAACAATTTCTGGTCCCATCAATTCATAGAAGTATAGACATGATCATAACTTAATATCGCACAAATTTCGCACGTTACCAGTATCACAATAAATAATGAAGTGCACTCATCTTAATCAATCTGTTAATTTCCTGTTAAATTTATTTAATTTTTATTGTATCAGAAAACTACTTAAATATAAGTAGAATATACAAATTGACAACAAATTATACATATTAAACTCACAAAATATGACCTTTCACATCATCTACTTAGTTACAATTGAACGCTACATTTCAGAAACTATAAAAATATACCAACCTTTCACTGTACAAAATATACAAACCTTTCAACAACAATTATTCTTAACAAAAGATAACAACGTTATATAAATAGAAATGCATGTATGCCATTGTATATTATATCCGTATATATATGATTATATCACACATGTATACAGTTTATATACATCTGTGACTATACACTACGCAAAAACCTACACAAGTTTTATGTATTGTGATTTATAGGTATAGTGGCAAAGTAGACGCTTTCTTACTCAAACTCAACTCCATTTGTGAGAAAATGTGTATAGACCAAACTGTCTGGACGATATGGGGCGTTTCTTTAGTAACGTATAACTTATTTTCATCACCCCTAATGGCCAGACAGTTTGAGACAGGTGTTATTGGTGCCAGTGACATTCTCTAAATAAAGCGTCTACTTTGGCCCACTATGTACAGGTACAACAGCAACAAAAATAGAGCCGCCATGTTACAGTGGTAGTTACATATAATTACACTTATACTATTGCCCGGTTTCACAAACGATGATTAAGGTTAATCACTGATTAAAAATATTAGAATGGGAAACATCTGAGCGTATAATCAAAGCTGGCTAACATTCAAATATTTTTAATCAGTGATTAACCTTAATCATCGTTTGTGAAACCAGGCATTAGTCTATTATACTTACATGTTACAAACAACAAAATATAATATAAAGTACAGTATAACACAACATTTAGTGCAAAATTTTCTCGATTTAATTATCGGCAAAAAGTAAAAATTTATGAGCTTATCACTTAGGTACTAGGTCTTCTAAGTGATCCTTTGCAATATGAGAGGAAGGATTTCTTCAAAATACTGCTTATAAATTATTTTCCTAAAATTGATCTCTATGTCAGCTACAATTAACCCATCAGTAGCCAAACACTATGATATAGTGTCAGCCCTATATGTGAGCAACCAATAAGACAGCGGATTGTATGTATCACATTATATCAATTTTTTTATCAAAGAGATCCAATTTGGCTAAAGGCTAAATACTCAAAGTTCGTTGTTTTATTATAGTGTTTATTGAAACCGAAACTTTCATTAACAGTGAGGAGTGAGCAATTGTAAAACTACCACGTTTGTTATTGTTGTGGAAAGATGATCATACAATGTTAATTTTAAACTCAATCGAAGACAGGCAGTGTTTGTGGCATATCCTGAAAAAGAGCCTTAAAAGAAATCGTAGGGGAGCTAACTATTCAAGAGGCGCCATCTTTAAATGAACTAAATAATTCACTCTGGTTGATTTTAAATTGCCAAAATCACTTTAGATGATTCATTCAAGATGATCACTCAAAATGAACCGTCTAAACGCGCCTTTAGTTTTAAGCGCGAGTGGGGAGAGTGACTAAGAAGCGTTGCGTATGTAAGCCCACGACTGACAAGGATGCAAAGAGACAGGTATGTGGTAGGCAGCTGCTGAGTGCATGCCGTTTACTACGTGTAATAAACAATGGGGCGTTCGCCATGTGAAGCGCTTCGCGAGCGCTATTAAAATGTCTCGTGAATGAGTGAGTTTATTTCAAAGCCTCCTACGAAAATTATGCATATAAAGGTCACAATTTTAGAAAATCTTAAATAAAATGAAAACCATAACAGATAGGTATAGGGCATAATTGATCGATGTAGAATTTTTTCCACATTTGCAAGTGCAAAAAACTAAAAGCAGGTTTCATTTGAAAAAATCAACTTTTTAAGGTTCGAAGTTATTAAACTTGACCATTAATTTTAACACGCCCTGTAGAAGGTCGATCACAATTTCATTGGCACGTAGCATCACGTCAGTATTGTTGATTTTCGAAGACTTTTTGAAATTCAAGTCAATGGAGCGAAAGGGCGCGAAAGAGAAACAGTCAAACGTCAAAAATTTTGAAAAATCTTGAATAACTTGAAAACCTCTGATGCTAGGTATAGGGAAATGTGATATCAAACGACGTAGATTTTCATGTAGATTTCGGAAATGCAATAAAATATAGGGTGTTCTATTTAAAATAAGAAAGTTGCTATCCACTTCAGAAAACCTCATTTAAATAATATTTAAAAAATCATAATTTTTCCAGATCTTTTGAAATTTCATTTTTGTAATTGTTGAAATTATGTTGAAGTCTAGTTACCTGAGAAAATATGAATATATAACATTAAAGAAAGGAGATGATGCGCTCTAGAATTATGGCCTGTTCTCACTCATTTTGAATTTTAATTGTTAATGGAATTATAATTTGACCACTGAACTATACTTATACTGGAATGCGCACTGGCGGTCTCCTGCCATAGGAACGTAGTGTGCCGAGAGAGATAATGGGCAAGAGGGATTTCTGTCACTATCACTCATTAGCGTAGAACAGAGATGTCCCTTGTGGCTCTCTCTCTCTCGGATCAGGCTGGCGAACGGAGCGGGCATTCCAGTATAACTGAATTTTACTATTGAGTTTACACCTTGTAGTCAAAATAATTAATGTCATATTTTTGACATAGAGTAAATATTTAATACGAACCTCACAATTTTTGTATAATCAATGTAATTAAGGAAAAGCATTCAAAGGTAAACATTACATACTTTGAAAAATTATTTTTTGTATACAAAATTTCACTATTTGTGCTAATGTACTACCAGTGTGACATTGGGCCGTATGAATAAAAGGAAGCAAATGCTTATACTTACAAAATTGAAAGTAAATACTCGTAACTGCCCCTTCATACTGGTCTGTTTAGCATGGTTTAGCAGCGCTGCACTGCGTCCTGTCCTGCTGCTCAGAAGCGCTGCTAAATCGCCCAGTGTGAAGGAGCAATTACGAGTATTTACTTTGAATTTTGCAAGTATAAGCATTTGCTTCCTTTTATTCATATGGGCCAATGATTTGCTTTGTCATTTATAACTGCCACATAAACTAAACCCACAGACCCCAGTGGTTGGCTTTCTAATGACGATACTTACTACAAAATCCTCAAGAGACGTCCATCACAGCGATTAGAGAACAGTGAGCCTTGGTTGATCAACAAACTCAGGACCATGATTCAAAATGGTCGTTAACGTTGCTGTAACCATTACACCCCAGAACAGAATAAACAAAAGAGAATCTGTCGAGTACTCCGAAGGTAAAATCGCACATGCCACAAACATAGCAATTGCTACTAATAATACGGACGGGAAAGTAATATACTTCCAACCACGCTCGATTCGCAATGGTGACTTAATTTCGGCAATGCCATGAAATAAGTCAATAGCATCTTGGCGGAAACCATCACTGAAATTATTCTTATAATACCTCGTCAACGAGTTAAGGCCATCTCTCATAAGGCCAACGTGCGTCCGTTTGCCGGTTCGTGTGAAATCAGTTTTAAGAGCACCTGTGCCAGAATACTGAAGACTAATTAAATCGGCATTATCTGCCCAAACTTCCTTAAACACTCGTTCTAAGGACGGAAATTCCTCTATACTCTCCTCACTTTTTATTATAGATAACTTATGCAATATGTTACCTAAACATCGTCTGGCAATCATGCTCTGTACGACATTAGTCCGATCTAAACAGTCCACACAATTAGTACGAAAGACGCCATCCTGTAGAAGAGGTATTGATCCATCTCTCAGTAACAAAAAGAATCCCATGTCGTCCTGCTCCAAAGATATGCGATCCAATAGTATCGACAAACGATCCCATCGCATGTGTCGGCACTCCGAATGGAAATCGAAAGGTTCGTATCTTACGAAAGGAAATCCGAGCGCCTGCACAGTGTCCGCATAAGCCTTTTGCAGCTTACCTTCAGAACCACGCTGATCGACCAAATCTAAAAGCACCTGTCGCCCATAATACACACTCAGGCTGTCCAAATGGCGAGCGCACGCACTTTGTTGCTCATCGGCTGCGACATCCACCAGATGTGGCGGCGGTTTGTACCTGTTCCAAGAAATAACTATGAAAGGTCGATAGTGTAAATAACAATGGTACAGTACATGTTCAAAACATCTTAAAACCACATCATTATCAAAAATGGCGAAATTTCTTAACAGTTCTATTTGCACTCATAGTTCTACAGTGTTTGACCAATTTTAGTAAAATTTCCATTTTTTTTAACTTTTATTTATTTATTTACTTGAAATAATCACCGTTGAAGAAATGAGGTACCAACTTCACATGGTATCTCATATTTTGTTGCTAGTTCTAATTACACCCGCATTAGTTCTAGTGCTATAGTATGGTATGGTAAGTCAGATAAGTAACCGCTAGAACTAGTCGACAAGCAACTATAAATACTACTTACTAAAGATCTACTAGGGAGGTTAATCACCAACCTACAACTAGCCGAAAGGAATAAACAGCAGCCGTTCCGGGTACCACTTTCATAAACAGTAGAATTGCAGTGTTCATATTTTTGCGAAGAACTCGAGAAAAAATTTAAAACCATTCCCGGTCCCTGTGGGGTGGACAGGACATTTTGAAAATTAAATTTAACAACCAGATACTTATTTTCTTCTCGGATTTCTCTTGTTAGCGCATTTTTTAGAATTAAAAAAAATATGCAGTTGGTGCAGAACAGTCCTGTGTATTGGATATCGTAAATAGAAATCAACTTACAATATTTTGTAAATCTGAGTTATATGTTTCTTGTATAGTGTATACCATGTGCCACATACTCCATGGTACTTAATTCTAAATCAGTATTAATATTTTCTTACGAACATATTACATACAGTCTGTTTCAAAACATAGCATTTTTCAAATAATAACAAAAATGTTATTTTTTATATGGAACACGCTGTATGTTATTACATCATATGATAGCTTCGAGGATAGGTTATTAAAATCTCATATACAGAGTTTTTTTAAAAGCGAACATAGGAGTTTGCATGCAATGTAATTTCCCTATGTTCGATTTTAAAAAAAACACATCAATCTATGAGGTGGGCGCGGTTCACATTCCCAAATCGCGCAACTTGTGTGACTATGAACAGCAACTCATAGTCGTTATGATGAAGAGCACTCGGTAAGATTTTTTTAAATAAGCCATGTGAGGCCATAGCAACTTTAGGATACATTTTTCTTAACCTTACGATAACTTCGACTTCACATGGCACGCGCTGACATCACAATATATTGTGAACCAACCTTCAATTATTTGTAGGTCATGTGCACCTGGTATTCTACTAATTTGATTTATTCAATACATAAATGAAGAAAATAAGTAACGAAAACAATTACAATAAATGTTCGAAGTGTCCTCCTTGACATTCTAAGCAATAACCTAACAGATTTTGGACGGCGGTATTTTTTAAAATGTGACAGCTGTCAATTGTGTCTACTACTCAAAAGATTGAGGTGTTTTTTTTTAAATCGAACATAGGGAAATTACATTGTATACAAACTACTATGTTCGCATTTAAAAAAATTCACTGTATACTACCATGAGTAGTTGAAGTATTGTCAAATATTTTTGAGTTGTTGTAACGAATGCTATAGCGCGTTCGCACCTCCAGATGCAGTTTGCGTCATTCTTCGATAATGCTATCCTTGTTTCCAACCGCATTGATGTCAAATTGACATATGATTAAATTGTAGTATTAAAACAAAACATAATCTCCTTGTGCTGTCATTGTCACGTTTGGCAAGCATGTACTGTATGTCCATAAACACCATACTGCATTTGGAGGTGCGAACGCGCTATAGTTAACGCGCGCGAGTGGTATTAAAAAGCGTAACTAGTATAAATGCAATAAATGATATTATTATTATTATCCAACGGATATTTCTTCCTTTACACGCTGATACGTATGTGTGGATCAACTTTTCTGCGTTCAAATCAATTTCTAACGCGTTTCCACAAAACATTCGAAAGTGACACTTGGTGAGTACCGACAAAAGTAACTACTGCCTTCTCTCTCACTACTTCGTCCAATTTTTTTAGCTGTGATGTATGTCTTAAAAAAACTCGCGAGCTTGGGTTCGAACCCGCGTCATCAAGTCGGCGGCTGAGCATTCCACGTGACGACCACGTGATGATTTTACTCCCGTCCAAATCCTATAGTGTATAACTGTATACTGAGCGAAGAAAAGTAGACACTTCAATTTAAAAAAGGCGCTATTGTGAACACTTTCTCCGTCCGTACGTCCCAACGCTCGTGTCACTATCAGATGCAGATCTTTACCTTAAGGTTTTTCGCTATTTGGTTCGTTATGGTTTGCACCAATGAAGGAATTTCTTCTGTGCCACTTACAAAAAAGGTTATAGCAAAAAAATTGATTACACCTCACAATTTTAAACTTTTGCCATTTATTGCGCTTATACAGTGTGTCCCAGATCGATTGCATGGATAACTTTCTTATTATTAAAGATCGAAAATGGGTTAAAGGGACAACGTTTTGCAGTTGCTTATTTAAAATTTCCTTGTGAAAGTTCAAAATGAGGAATAGGTTGAACCTCGGGATGAACGTAATTTCAAAAAAACTAAAATCGGTCATTTCCTTGAATGTCTTATATCATCCAAAGTATACGAGATACAAAAAAAGTTTCATATAAAAGTTACTGTCTTTGATACGCTTAATTTAGATTTGATGTAAAAAAATTCAAGTAGGCTACTTTTGAGGAACAACTACCAACTTCCTGAAGTTAAATAGGCGCCATGTTGGATTTTTAGATTAATTAATAGAATTTTTTATTCTCTTTTCAACGAGCCATCACAGCATAAGATTGAAAATAAGATACCAGTTATATCAACGGTTTTTGTATTTTAATCAAATAGCCTTGATGAATGAAAAAAAAACAAAATCTATTGGAGGCAACAAAACAATGAGATCTCAACTCCTCGGACCAAAAGAATTCACCCAGGTTGTATTTTTTTAATACAGCAAAAATTGAACCAACAGGGACAAAACAAACATCTTAGATACATGCCGCGCAAAGTCACGACATCTTTACATTTCGTCTTTATCTACTGTTTTTGTAACATTTTTGTTTGATAACAGCAAAAAAATGTTAATAGCCATACATAGAAGAAACCGAGGAAGAAACTAACACTTTGGTTAGAAATGTTGGAAATGCTCTTTTCGATTTTGTATAAATTATTCTAAAATTCTCCCCAAATCACTTGGCAGTATTAGTGTACAGGTCAGTTCAATTGTTTAGTCATTACAGCGATGGTGCAGCAATTGTTGTGATTGTAAAACAAGCAAGTACCTAATAATTGAATCTTTTTAAAGGATCTCAGAAAAACTAGAAAGTAGTGTTGTCTACCCCTGAAATTTCAAGGCAAAAGTAACAGTATCAATGTAGAGAGTAAGAAACAAGTAGGTATGAAATTGTATACACAAATATTCATATTTGGAAATTAAGAAAAAAATGTCGGTGGAATTCATAAATGAAAAACAAGTAAAACGATTTACATAAAGCGCATTTCCACTTGCATTCATTTCCCATTTGTAAGATGCAACTTCTGTTAAAATCGTAAAAATCCGCCCACAAATATGAAAGATAGCGTTGCACATGGGCAATCCATTGTTGACGTGCTACTTCAATTTCAGTTTATGCGAAGAATTTCATTTCAATGCTTTTCTAAATAAGAAAGTTGGAACTGCGCATGCGCAAACCAACATTTTGAAACTAATATTAGATTTTCCTTGTTCCAAGCGCCTAAGTATCAAATTTCAGTTAAATCTTCCATAGATAAAAAAGTTGGCACTGCGCATGCGCAAAAAAAATTTTGAAACTGGCGCTAGATTTTCCTTTATTCCAAGTGCCTATGTATCACATTTCATTTAAATTCTTTCATAAATAAAAAAGTTGGCACTGCGCATGCGCAAAACCAAATTTTGAAATTGGCGTTTGATTTTCCTTTATTCCAAGTGCCTATGTATCAAATTTCATTCAAATACTTTTATAAGTAAAAAAGTTTGCAATTCGGTTTATAAATGGTCGAGATGCGAAAAGGGCACTGTGAATTTTGAATCGATTCGATCCAACTTTTGGCATTGCGTATTATATGGCTAAATCTATGCCAATATTGAATTTCATGCAATTCAGTTCATAACTAACGGAGATGTAAAAGCGATCGGACATTTCTAAACAAAGTTATCGTTCACACGGACAGATAGATGGACAGACAGACAAAGGAACAGACGGAGAGACCAACCGGCAGGCGACAGATAGCAATGCAAATTTATAAACGATCTCTAGGATCGTTAATAAACGGCAAAAGTGTAAAATTATGGAACATGTAAAAAACGGTTTTTTGTTTTTTTACAATAACTTTTTTTGTAAGCGGTACAGAAAATTCCGTCCTTGGTGCAAGACTCGACACCATAACGAACCAAATAGCGAAAAAAGTAGAACAATAGCTCTTAAGATAAAAAACTAGTAGCGTCGCAAAGTTAGCGGACGGACGGACGGACAAAGTGGCCACAATAGCGCATTTTTTTTTTATTTTTGTGGAAATGCGCTAAAAATGAATACAATTTTAGCAAGTTAATGCAAAAATCAAAGTTGTTCGATCTAACCAGAATTAACATTGATTTTCCTAGATTTGACTACTGGAACTAGCAAAACAAATATTTTTTCAAAATAAGCTAAGGGCCTAAAAGGTTTAGAGAGCAACATCCTTCCGAAATTACTTTAAATTTTCGAGCTATTATCTAGGGATTTCAAAAATTAGGAACTGTCTGAACTTGGCACCTTGTTTCTCTTGTACTGATTATAGTACTAAATAACTGGGCTTTCAATCTAGAACTGTAGAAATTTTATGGGTGCATCTCTTAACTGCTAGTCCTCTGCGAACAATACCTCAAATCCGGATACTGGCTCCAATACAGAGGTATCGAACCGCGAATTTGCACAAAGCTCGCTCTATCACCCTGGCACTCCACAATCTGTTCGGTTTCGACGAAATTTGCTACATTTCCAACATTATCCAAACCTCGGCGGAACAGTCTTGTACCGGGTCGATTGATGCTTCTTCTTGAAATGACGGTCCAGGTAAAGTTGTAACCGTTGATCGAAAAGTCATTAATCGCCATAAACCCATGCAATAGTGGAAGACAGAAGTTGTGAATTTCCGGACGAAATATCTGTTTGATTAGATTGGAATTCCATACGAAGCGATGATCGGCCCTCTCAAATAAGGAACGATTCAAAAAGTCGGGCTCCATTAGATGTAACCGTTGCATTGTATGAGTAAGATCGTAAGTGTAACTAAAATACAAATACGGAGTGTCCAGTACATTTTTAATCATACTCAAGTATGAATTGTTATCATCTAACTGCTCGGCATTCAAATGGAGAGTACTACGATTATATGGAATAAGCTCACTGGAGACAAGGCACCAAACTGCATGACCGGCAATTGATCCAACGTAAGTGCGTTTCGTAGCTATGATTAGATACTGGCCGGCCAATAAACGAACGCTTCCGAGTAAACCACAAAACTCACGAGAACTTGTAGCAACAGGAATATCATTTACATTACTCTGCAAAGAGAGCGATTCGGACACACGATCCACTACCAAATACTTGGAACTCAATTTAGGACAAATGTAAAACTTATCCGGCGTTATAAACCTTAAAAACAGAATTTTAAATTCTCTTACAATGTTATATTATGTATACTTACAAGTTGAAATCATCATATACATCGGAGTAAAACATGTTTAGTAATCGCTTAGAATCAACTTATACATTAAATATTAAACTACAAAAATTATAAATAACAATATTAACTATTCTTTTTATAAAAGTACAAGGGTGTTGTAGATTGTAGATGATTCATTTAAAATTAAAATTATTTATTTTATAGGTTTAGGTTAACTTGTCAGTGTCACTGTCATTTAATTTTTATCCCAGTAGACAGTAGTTCCAAAACAATTGTGTTTTCAGTACGATATATGTCCATGCGAGCATCTTTCTGAGCAGTGTGGCCTCATGCCATCCATATGCTCCATGTGTGATGCCCGCGATGTTTTTTCCAAATTATCATTGGGCTGATCGGGTTTAATCAGATTGGTAGATTTTGCTTTAGCAACATTATTGCCACAATTGTTTCCAGCAAAATGACTTCATCCCCTTATAGTTTCCAGGTAAATTTTTACTAATCTGGTGTATTTAGTTCAAATATGGCAGACCTCCTAACAAAAAATAACACCACTCTGTCTCTGTAGTTACTGTATTTCTTAAATAGCAAGAAATGAAATGGTTTTCAATAGTTTAAATTGTAAAACGTAGATGTCTGTACCATCAAAAAAAATGAATAAATGCCAATCTTGTAACCTTTATATAATCATTATCAGTTCACTATCAAACATCATTAGGAAATGTAGCCCATAGGAATAGAGGTTTATTGCGCGTTGCTAACCAACGAAACCATTCTGAGCTTATTGAAATAGTGATAATGATGTATCACTAACGCATACCTCACTAACGTTAAACAGTATTATCTTTGGTTAAACTGAACTCGCATGTTATCTGTCAAAAATGTCTTTTTGCCTAAACTAAATTACGCAAAAAATCCTGTGTATTTAAATAGATTTTGAAAAGTATTTTACCCAGCTCTGTCCCCCGCCGCATCTTGGTTATACAGTGACTACTACACAGTACACACAGTGGCGACAAGCAGCAATTAGCTCTGCCCATCGCCACTCCGAGATTCACATCGCATCACTCCTATCTCTTTTAGTTCTCAAAATACTCCTGATTAACATTTTGGCAAGTTTGTATTGTTAGAACAATACTTTCAAATGTTTTGCTTAAAATCGATTAAACGAGTCAATACAAATTACTCACAGATAAAAACTAAACTGTAAACACTTCTGTGCAGTGCCAAGCACAGTTAGGGTCCATTCGCATGCATCCACTGAATAGTACTTTTCATTGAATAAGCACCTTATATTCAAAATGGTACTTTTCCTATTTATTTAGCAACGCTACAACAGCGCCACCATGCGTACCTCATGCTAGTACCTGATGAACAATGAACTTAGGTACAATAGAGGAAAAACCCACAAAGGAACAACTGGATGTACCCACTAGTGCTAGAGAAACGTAATCGAGGACTGTTCTCCACGCTGTTCGACGACTCATAAGGTGATGGTGATATTTTTGTCTTATTTTTGTGGTTAATAATGACAAGTGAACTCACACTGCCAAACTCTTAAGACTAGTTGTATTCCGACCACCTGTTTTATTGAAAAATGTTTCGCTACAACCAAGCTTAAGGGATTATTTTAAATAAGAACATAACAAATATTTGTTTATTTTCTTGCAGAAATTGTTAATAAGATGTCAGATTAGATTTGTCATAAGAGAGATGATTAAATACATTGAGCATTCAGATTTCTAACACAGATACCTACAAACTATCATTAACAAGAGCTTCCTATTAAAAATCACCGGGACATGTTTATAAAACAACCATAAGACATTTTGCAGTTCTTTACAAGTGCGTCAATTCGATTTTGGTTACACAAGTCAAAAAATGACCTATAAATTTTGAGGTTCACTTTCCGTTGTCTTAAGGTCTACGGTTACTGCACCGCTGATAGTGGTCACATGACTGCCAATACTTAGTGACCCGACCTTGGCTCTGTTGTATGCACTTAACGTATTCTGTCCCAGAAACCTGAAAGTAAAAGAAAACGATTAGTGATTTGCTTAGAATTTGGAATAGGATACCTAATGCAAATGTAGATTACAAAGGCAGCTAAGCTGGCACTGATCATTCTGATGTAGGGATCATCAAACAGCTGAATTACAGTCCAGGCAGCAGCCACTGCCGAACACAAACACGTAATTATCAGAGCAGTGCTACTCCAATGATGTGCCGTAAATCCCTTTTCCCAGTCCAATTTGTTGGTTTCCTTAACTTGATATGCCTGCTTGCAAACTTTACATTGTAGTGCTTCAGTGCTACCAGATGAACTTTCCATTAACCATCTTCTCAAACACTCATGGTGTACACTTGACATGTCACCAATACACCCGCAAGGTTGTATGAGTGGTTCCGGCTTATCCAAATCGTAACATATCCAACATTCCTGCTTATCAACAAACGTCTCGCTTTCCGGTAATATTTCACCGTTATTACTCTTATCCCAAGATTTTTGGTCCAATTTCGCTAGTAATTTTCGTGGATTCAAAAGCCACAATTCGCCTGGTGATATGCAATTCCACAATACGGCGGGAAACCAAACTGCCAAACCAATTTCGACAACACGAAACACGACATCGTGAAAATTTCGGGACTTAATTGGCACCTTGGTCTTCCAAAATTCGGATAAGGTCTCGGAGAATAAAAACCCAACTATAATGATCGACATTAGGGCGTGGCTAAGCAGTCCGACACGTGACTGATGTAACTGAGAATTGTTCACGAGAGGACTCATGTTTGTCGTCTGGAGTGGTTCTTCCTCGGCGCCAGCGATTTGAACGTGACTCTTAATGAATCCACCTCGTACCTACAAAACATGATAGAATGTAACAGTTAAAAAAAATACCTAATGGACATTTTTAAAAGCAATGAATTTTTTATTAGTGCTAATTGGAAACCTATGGTGGCGTGCGGATATGCGTTCAGGAAACTTCTCCTTCTTTAATGATAATCCAAAAACTGGTATATTACTCAATGAACTCAGACATACACATTGCATTAAGATACAAGTAACTGCATACTAGACACAGGAACTGCTGTGGCTGTTGAAGTTAAAAAAAGTAAAACAAAAACAATTTAGCTAAATTGAATTTTTTCTTTCAGGTGTTACCTGATGATGACAGCTTTGCTGTTGAAACGCGTTTGATCTATGATTGTAGTTTATTGATTATTGTTTACTTTTTGTCAATTGGATTCACCAGGTTGGTAGATTTTGGCTAGTTATTGGCACAATTGTTGCCATGTTGAATTATTGCAACACCAGTGTGCCACTTAATGCCATAAATGCGACTTACCTTAAAAAATACTTCAACTCCATATATAAGGAAAAATATAACTACAATAAACAATAATACTGCGTAGCAACCATTAAAAATATGATTGTAATAAGAAACATTTTCAATAGGCGGTTGTACCAACTGTGTCGTTATAACTTCGGCCAACAATAAGCCATAACTAATAATGTTGAACACCAAAAATCCTATGAAAGATTTAGAGAGAAACTGTGGTTTTTCCCACTGAATTCCAGGTATATGGAAAACCTACAAATATGATTTCAATCAATATTTACACCTTTCACTAGTTCTACTTACTTCTGCCCAAAAGCAAACGATTAACGACGATCCTGACATAAGCAGAGGATAATAAGCAGATAACAAGCTATTTGCCCATCCTGACTTAAAAGTATTCTGAAACTATAGCATTAGATGGATAATGTTTCGTTTGATATTTACCGGTGAGGTAAAATACGCTCCTCTGATAGCACTGGCAAGAAATGTTAAAAAATATAGCAATTTTTGTGTCGTTATTTTACACGCCTTAAGAAATGTAGGCGTTTTCAAGCGCTGATATTCCGACACAATGCACATCAGAAGCTGGATGGTAGAAACCAACGCAATTAGCAGGAAAACTCCTCCTATTCCTGCATGGTAGGGTAAGTTGGGACCATCGCAGTGATCGCCAGAAAAACGTATCTCGCACACGCATGTTCCGTTGTGACATTCTCCCCGACCAGAACAATCGCTGATACAGGCAATATCAGGCATGAGAAGTAGGTGGCGGATCATTACAATATTTCATCCAACCTGCAAGAAGAGTTAGTTTAGAGGATAAACATCAACTATTATTAATAACAATAATAATAATCAATTGTCCTATATTGTACCATACATAACATAAGGTCAACACCCCGTCTATTTTCTCATTTTCTGTCAACTTGGTGTCAACGTGACATATACAATGTGAACAAAACAAATATAATTTAATGCCTTGACCTCGGCCTTGACTATACTTTTTTGTACTTCTTTGTTACTTATAAGTTATTATGTTCTGTGCTACTGATACTGGCACTAACCCTCTCCTCTAATCCCCTGAACTTACCAACAGAACAGAGAAATAGTCTAAGATAAAAAGCTATGGCGCCTTACTACTTTCTCCATCATCAAACATAGTGCAATATCTATACGAATTCACATTCAAATGACAGAGTTACAGAGACACCGCAATGCCTTCTATATGCGAGAATAACTACAAATGTTGCTGAATTCTTAAATAGTATGCTATGGTCCGATGCCAATGGAAGAGGAAAATATTGTGGGAAATACTTGTAAATATAGTTTTAATCTAAACAAATCATGTTTCCGAATTCTTCATAAAAGACGACCAGCTTCTTTTACAAAATTAGAAATATTTACAATAGCAGTAGGATTGGCAACACTGTTGTGCTATACTGAGTGTAAATTCCACTATACATATAAGAATGTAAAAAAATTGAGTGCTAGAGGGAATCAAAACAAGCACTTTTTCCAAATAAACCAAGGGTTGCATTCCTTCTTTAATTTTTTCTGGGCAACCATAACAGATAGAAAGACTGGTGGTATGTATGTCTTTCAAAAGGTTTTGGGGTATGCCCTTTCTCATATTACAAAAACATTTTCAAAATTCCTGCCACAAAAGAGCGCACCCACTAAAAGGAGATGCGAAAGAAAATTCTGATATCGACCAAATTTAATATCTGGGGGCTTTTGAGAATTCGAAAAAAAAATCCACTACTGCAATGCTTGGCCGGACACCGAAAATTGAGAAACTTCCACAAAATTTGATGTGTACATACTTGATGAGTTTAAGGAACAAAATTGTTGAACAGTTTTTTTAAACAAAAGTTATACTCATTTGAAAATTGGTCCTTCAGTTACAAAGTGTCCCCCGTCTACTAGTGAGTCATTTAGCAT